CCACAGGGCGGGTGCCACTACCGAGAAGGCCCTCTGCCTGGTTCCCTGTAACCTCACTTCTTGCAAGAAGGCCCTCGGTGCTGGATCTCAGTGTCCGGGCTGAACGATGGGGATGGAGATGCTCCTTCAGGTATAAATGTATATGAGGTTTTGCAAAAAAAAGGGGGGGGATGCACTGGAAAGTGTGTGTGAAAATGAGACAGTGTAGTATAACCTCTGCACAAAGCAATCAACATGACTGCTTAGAATCAAAGAATTTTATCGTGTTTTTAATATTCTGTTGGGAGCCGCCCAGAGTGGCTGGGGAAACCCAGCCAGATAGGCGGGGTATAAATTATTATTATTATTATTAGTCATGAGGTTCATCTAGTTCAACCCCCTGCAATGCAGGAGTCTTTTGCCCAATGAGGGGCTTGAACCCACAACCCTGAGATTAAGAATCTCATGCTCTGCTTAGATCTATATCACCTAAGCTCCCCTAAAGCTTTGTGCAAACAAATCTGGATGGCTGCTCTGTAAACTGGTAGTCTAGAAGGGACCCTAGCATGGAATTTGACTTTTTCACAGCTGCCGCACCCTGGGTCAACATATTCCTCGAGATATCTACCAAAACCCCAAGGTCTTGCTCCTGGCCGGTCACTGCCAGTTCCGGCCCCATGAGCATATATGTGGAGCGAGGTAAAGTATTGTGTGGCACTGTAAAAGCATTGTTGTTGAGGAAATCGGGTACTGGAGGAGTCCTGTTTCATAAGAACATATAAAGCGCCCTGCCAGATCAGGCCAATGCTCTATCTAGACTTGGGTCGCCCAACGATTTTGGACTACAGTTCCCATCATCCCTGACCATTGGTACTGTTAGCTAGGGATGATGGGTAAAAAGGGGACTCCTGACCCGTGGCCGACTCTGGGGTTGCGGCGCTCATCTCGCTTTATTGGCGGAGGGAGCCGGCGTACAGCTTCCGGGTCATGTGGCCAGCAGGACTAAGCCGCTTCTGGCAAACCAGAGCAGCACACGGAAACGCCGTTTACCTTCCCGCTGGAGCGGTACCTATTTATCTACTTGCACTTTGACATGCTTTCGAACTGCTAGGTTGGCAGGAGCAGGGACCGAGCAACGGGAGCTCACCCCGTCGTGGGGATTCGAACCGCTGACCTCCTGATCGCCAAGTCCTAGGCTCTGTGGTTTAACCCACAGCGCCACCAGTACCTTAGGGCCTCATCAAACCTAAATCCGGCCCTGATCCTGATCCAGAGCATTACATTTTCATAGTGGCCATCTAGATGTCTCTAGGAAGACCACAGCCCGAAAATGTGATCACACATCCGTCTCCTGCTAAAGATCCATGACAACTGATATTCAGGGACACACAGCCTCTGATGCTGGACCCATCATGGTTAGCAGCTATCCATCACCTTATCCTCCTTAAATGTGTCTAATCCCCTTTTAAAGTTGTCCCCACCGGTGGCTGTTATACATTGTGGTAGCCAATTCCAGAGGTCAGCTATGCACAGCATGAATCTCTCTGGGGAAGGAATCCCAACAGAGGTTAAAGCACATTGCACTTCCCTCCCTGAAAATATAGACCCTTCTTTTGCACTACAGCTAGGAACCTGTGGCCCTCCAGATGTTGTTGGACTCCAACTCCCATTGGTCATTCCCAGCATGGCCAGCAATCTGGGATTATGGGAGCTGGAGTCCTGCAGCAGCATTTGGGCAATTTGCAAGTTTTACTGGTGCCCCAAAAGGAGGGGATAGGAATTATGCCAAGGGGACAAGTACACAATCTTAAGAGAGAAATAAGATGTCTTGTTTTTCATTGATTGTTTTGCACCTTACCTGGAGAAGCGAAAGGGAAAGCGAGTGCTTGGTCAGGCAGGCTAGGGACAATTTTGGCTGAATTGCTAAGGAAGGAAAGAAACAATTATAGCACTAGAGTCAGATTGATCAGAGAGAAAGAGAGAGAGAGAGAGAAAGTTGGGTTATTATTATTCTAGGCAAGGAAAATCTTATTCTCTACAAATACTTGAGACTCAGCTAGACTGGTAAAGAAAAAGCGATTTATATGCGTTGTACGTGCGATATAGGGACGTGGGTGGCGCTGTGGGTTAAACCATAGAGTCTAGGACTTGCCAATCAGAAGGTTGGCGGTTCGAATCCCCGTGACGGGGTGAGCTCCCATTGCTCTGTCCCTGCTCTTGCCAACCTAGCAGTTCGAAAGCACGTCAAAGTGCAAGTAGATAAATACTTCCGGCGGGAAGGTAAACGACGTTTCCATGTGCTGCTCTGGTTTCACCAGAAGCGGCTTAGTCATGCTTGCCACATGACCCGGAAGCTGTACGCCGGCTCCCTTGGCCAATAAAGCGAGATGAGCGCCGCAACCCCAGAGTCGGCCATGACTGGACCTAATGGTCAGGGGTCCCTTTACCTTTTTATGTGCGATATCACATTGTGCCACCAGATGGCGATGTGGAGTTCTGCTTTTCTCTACCAGTTTTCCTTGTTTAAATGTACAACGCTTTAAACTAAAACGCTTCTTTGATGTGTCTAGATGCAGCCTTGATAGTGGCTGAGACCAATAATTAACAGAAGGATCAAACACTCTCCCCGATTTCTTTGGGACTTCCAAGACATCAGTTGGAAGGATTCTGCTTTGGCAGCTCTGTTGCATAGGACAGCCTTTCCCAGCTTGCAGCTCCCATCAGCCCCAGCCAGCACTGCTGTTGGTAGGAAAGGCTGGGGAGGTTAGGCATGCTTAACTCGAGGAAGAGCCAATTAAGAGGCAATCATCAGTGTTTCTCACACTTGGGTCTCCAGCTGTTTTTGGACTACAACTCCCATCATCCCTGAACACTGGTCCTGCTAGCTAGGGATGATGGGAGTTGTAGTGCTGGTTTTCAGTGAGATCTTGCCCCAAATTGCATGAGATTGTGCACAAGACATCACATGATTTTGACATCTCGCCCCAAATCGGCACCAGTGACAGTGGGGCTTCTCCGCCGCTGGGCAGCTTCAGCAGCCTGAGGCAGTGAACTCCCCCTGCCTAATGGCTGGGCCGGCTCTGTCAGAAGCCCTGCAAAAGCCAGGGTCCCCAAATCGTGCGTACAGAGCCCACGCTTTCCATGGATTCAGAATCCGCACATTTAGTCACAACTTTCACATACAACATTCATGGCACAAGCAAGATAAATCACATCCGTCTTGCACATTTATGCACATTGAACAGTCATGGTTCCATTCAAAGAATCCTGGGATCTGTAGTTCACAACCCCAAGTACCCTTAACAAACTACAGTTCCCAGCATTCTTGGGGGAGGAAACCAAGTATGCTGAAGTGGTACAAGAGTGCTTTAAATATATGGTACAGATGGGCCCATAGACCGATATGCCAGCATGCAAATACCCTTTTAAGAACACATTAGTTATTTATACGGCTCTGCACAGTCTGCTGGGAGAGCTTGTTTGCAAATATTTATTCTTGTCTTTAGTGAAGATGTTTTTTTTATTATTTGTTGCCATGATGTTCCAAACCTTTTTTGTCAAGCCTTTGTTAGTCGTGCTTGGAAGAACTCCAGGCAGCATAAAAGAGAAAACAATGGAGTACTTTACAAAGCAGCCCTGAATTATGGGGTTCACAACCCACACGCAGGTACAATAAGATCATCTCACCCCTGTTTGCATGCAGGAAGCTTTGTATTTCAAAAGATACCCTGCGGCACCCTCCTCCCGTTTTTTTATTCCTCCTCAAGCTGGTGCTTGTCATTGAGAAAACCGTCACCCATGTCGATGCCCCCAAACACATTACTAGTTCTTTTTAGTTCAATAGCAAAGAGTGAGAGAAGCCAAAGGAGGTATATGCCCATCTCAACATATGCACACTCCAGAATGGATATTCTGTACCTAAATGGGGAGTGACAAAAGTGAGAAGCAGGAGGAAATCAGAAACCACTCTGTGCTGTAAACAAAATGCCCATTATGATGATGGATGGATAGATGGATGGTGTATTTGAATGGAGGGTGGGATTAAGGGAATGTTGAATAATACAATCATGGAGTTTTACAGATGGCAGGGATTCCTGGAGGTCATCTATTACAACCCGCCTGTGCAATGCAGGAATTTTGCAACCACAGCAGGGAGGGGAAACACAAACCCGAGGGCCATGTGTGGCCCTCCAGCCCTCTCTATCTAATGCGGGGGTAGGCAACGTAAGGCCCGGGGGCCAGATGCGGCCCAATCGCCTTCTCAATCCGACCCATGGATGGTTCAGGAATCAGTGTGTTTTTACATGAGTAGAATGTGTCCTTTTATTTAAAATGCATCTCTGGGTTATTTGTGGGGCACAGGAATTCGTTCATTTTCTCCCTCAAAATATAGTCCGGCCCCCCACAAGGTCTGAGGGACGGTGGACCGGCCCATGGCTGAAAAAGGTTGCTGAACCCTGATCTAATGCTTCGGGGCACTGCCCACGCCACATCCCCAAGGGTCAGGTGGTACCCGGTGTGGAAAGTTTCTTGTTACCCCCCACATTGATTTTTTTGCCTGCAAAAATGGTTTGACTTTATTTTATATTTTTTGGGGGGGGGGAGCCAGAGTTGTTGACCTTCTTTTGAGGAGCCAGAGTTGTTGAGCCTTTTCTGCGGATATCATGTGCCTGGAGGAGTTTGCCTACCACCCTAAAGCTGAGGGGAAGCCTGCGCACAGCAAAGCCACAATGTCCCTCACAGACGTTCAGTGATGCACAGCATTTTGTCACACACACCCCCTTGGAGGTGACACCCGGGGCAAAACGCACCCACCGCAACCCCTTGCTCCGCCCCTGCACACCCTTCATTCGCTTTGCACCCCGTGACTGCTAGGTCATATTTAACTAGAGAGTTTCTGTTTCTGTTTCTAATGCCGTGTTTCATTGCGGTGTGTGATATGCATATAACCGTCTTATATTTTGTCCGTTGGTAGAGTGCCTTGGGTTCCATTTGGCAGAACATTGGCCTACAGTATATATATATATGTGTGTGTGTGTGTGTGTGTGTGTGTGTGTACACACACACACACACACACACACACACTGCAAAATGAATTTTTTAAAAAACCCATAAACAAGTCTCATTAAAATATTTCAAGACTGGATTGCTACAAATGAACTCTACGTGGGGCTTCCCTTACTCTTGGTCCAGAAGCTGCCATTAGTGCAGAATGAAGCTGCATGGTTGCTGGCAGGAACGAGACCCTGGCAGGACAGAGCACTTTTGCTCAGAGACCTGTAGTGGTTGTTGATTTGCTGCTGGGCCGCATTCAAGGTGTTCCTATTAGTATATACCGTAAGTGGAACGCAGGTGGCGCTGTGGGTTAAACCACAGAGCCTAGGACTTGCCGATCAGAAGGTCGGTGGTTCGAATCCCTGTGACGGGGTGAGCTCCCGTTGCTCAGTCCCTGCTCCTGCCAACCTAGCAGTTCGAAAGCACATCCAAGTGCAAGTAGATAAATAGGCAGGAAGGTAAACGGCGTTCCGTGCGCTGCTCTGGTTCGCCAGAAGCGGCTTAGTCATGCTGGCCACATGACCCGGAAGCCGTACGCCGGCTCCCTCGGCCAATAAAGTGGGATGAGCACAGCAACCCCAGAGTCGTCTGCTACTGGACCTAATGGTCAGGGGTCCCCTTACCTTATTAGTATATAAAGTCCTTAACCTCTTGGGACCAGTTTACCGGCAGGATCAGCTTACCCCATATATATATATCTCCTCCGCTGCTTAAATCTGCAGAACTGTTACAGGTGCCCAAACATTGCTCGTTCTGCATTTGTGAGCCATCAATCTTTTAGTGTGTCAGAACCTGAACTTTGGAACTCACTGCCTGTTGACATCAGGCAGGCTCCCTCACTGTACTCTTTTCAGGGCCTGTTAAAAAACATTTTTGTTTAGGCAAACCTGCTAACATATGTAGCATATTGACCTGTGTTTTAGTCTGTTTTTTAGCTTATTGTTAATTTGAATTTTTTAATGTTTTAAATAATTGTTTTTACAATTGATAACTTCATTGCTCCTTCAGTAAAACCACTTTGAGCTTTCATTTTTGCAGTCAAGCACTATGCTGTGGGATGTTCCTTCCGGTTTGGCTGAAATTTAAAGCAGCTGGGAGATGAAAGCCACATTGGTTCCACTGAATGTTCTTAACTTTGGCAGGATCATGCCCCGTCTTTGGTCGCTGTTGCTGATTGCTTGCTGGTCTTGTTGAAATACACTCATTTAGCCGAGATATTGTTCACACAGCTGCAGACTCACCAAGTGTCTCTATTTTCCAGGGACAGAAGCAGTCCTGGTTTCTGATTTGATCATGGAATGTCCAACTTTTCTTTAAGACGTCTCTATTTTCATCGGAGAGACACTGGAAGATATGGAGCTATGCAACTCCTGAACCAAGGAGATAAATAACTATACAACCTTTAGAAGACATCTGAAGGCAGCCCTGTACAGTGGTACCTTGGTTCTCAAACTTTATCCATTCCGGGAGTCCATTCGACTCCCGAAACCATTCAAAAACCAAGGTGCGGCTTCTGATTGGCTGCAGGAGCTTCCCAAACTCAAGCAGAAGTTGGACGTTTGGCTTCCGAAAAACGTTCACAAACTGGAGCGCTTATGTCGGGTTTGTGGCGTTCGGGAGCCAATTTGTTCGGCAACTAAGCCGTTCGAGAACCAAAGTATGACTGTATAAAGAAGTTTCTTTATGTTTAATGTTTTATTATGCTTGTATATATATTGAAATGGGACGCGGGTGGCGCTGTGGGTTAAACCACAGCACCTAGGACTTGCCGATCAGAAGGTCAACGGTTCAAATCCCCGCAATGGGGTGAGCTCCCATTGCCCGGTCCCAACTCCTGCCAACCTAGCAATTCAAAAGCATGTCAAAGTGCAAGTAGATAAATAGGTACTGCTCCGGCGGGAAGGTAAACAGCATTTCTGTGTGCTGCTCTGGTTCCCCAGAAGTGGCTTAGTCATGCTGGCCACATGGCACGGAAGCTGTACGCTGGCTCTCTCGGCCAATAAAGCGAGATGAGCGCCGCAACCCCAGATTTGGCCACGACTGGATCTAATGGTCAGGGGTCCCTTTACCTTTACCTTTATATATATTGAAAGTTGCCCAGAGTGGCTGGGGCAACCCGGGCAGGGAATATTAATAATGATGATGATGATAAATGGAATAGAACGTCTCTATTTTCATTGGAGAAATGTTGGAGGATATGTCGTCGTTCATGCCTGAAGTAACGAAGGAGTCGTAAGAGTTTTTTATTCTGAAGCACTTATATTTTCACCTAACTGAGCCTTTTTAATCACACTGGTTGGCTTAAACTCTGCAGGATTGCCCTCGTTGGTGCATTCTTCTAGCTGGCTGTATTAAGTCATCATTCCTCACAGGAAAAGGGCGACTATTGCTCCCTCTTTAAAATATGGTTTCTGGTGACTTGAGCAAAGGAAGCGTTTGCAACCCCCCCTCTAGTGGAGAAAGCCTGCCATTGCAGAGGTTGCTTTCCCAATAGATGTTAGGCCTCTCTCCTGCCTGCATAATCTTCAAGTGGTTGATAAATTAAATCCCTTCACTCATCCATCATTTCAAACACAGCGTGTCAGAAGTAGGTGCAGCACCACTCATAATTCTCATTTCGGGATGCAGGGAAGTGTCTGCAGCTGAACACAGTGCCGACCAATCCAGGCCTCTCACTGAAGCACACTTAAAACTGAGGGATCCTCAGAACTTTCCTTTTAATTAATTGCTGGTTTAAAATAAAAATAGCACTCTGGAACCATGGATACCAGCACAATGATTTTGTCTTAGGGAGGGATGAAATTTCCTGAAGAGAAATGATATATATATAAAATCAATATGACCTTAATTGATTTACTGTGGGGTAGGGCTGGTGTGTGTTTGTTTGTGTGTATGGGTGACAGTGGATAGGTTTTGTGAACATTTGTATCAGGGTACCTCCACCAGTTTTTCAAGCATTGCCTCCTAGGGTACAAAACTATTTTCCATGTGCAGGAAGCTTTGCCCTCACTCTGAATGGGCTTTGCCCTCACTCTGAATGGGCTTTGTTTACTCATTGTGATATTTGCCAGCAGCTAAAGCCAAATGGCTGCATAACTTTAGGATATCCTGCCCACTCTATGAACTCCGACTGGGTCAGTATCACACATGTAGGTGAATCAAGAAGACTTGTGCTCTGTCTGAATGGACTTCGTGGTCCATGACATCAGCGCATAGCCAATTCTGATTGGGTATGAGGAACTACGACAAAATTGTGCAACCTACATGTTTTTTACTTCACTGGGAATGAGAAAGAAACATTTTCTCAGAAAGAAAGGGTACAGAAGCAGCAGAATGGGGAAGTGGGGGGGGGAATGGAAAATAGGTAGGGAAAATTGAACATTGTATGACTTATAGTTCTGGCGGCATGGAGACGGCTGCATTAGCCCCCCACCCATCAACCTAAGGTTTCCCATACCTAGATTAATTGAAAACCATTTGAAACAATTACAAGCAGCAGGACTTTTTAGTGGTGGCCCCACTTGTATGTGGAACTCCCTCCCAAGTGGTATGAGAAACGCCATACACTTAAAAAACATACAGAAAGGAAGGAAAGAAGATAATACAACTGATTTAAAATACACACAAAATACAAATTTTGGTTGTTGCAATCACAATCCCTGGAAAGAATTATTCTTGGTTACTGGGAATAAGAGTAGTAACTCCCCCCCCCTTTCCTAAATTTTATTTTATGTTATTACATATAACAATACAAACGTTTGAGAGATACAGAAATGAACAATGTTTGGCATCATACGGTCCACAACTTTAAAAAGAGAATGATGCTGAGGGGATAAATGGTTTCGATTTGTGTTTGTGTTATTCTTTTCAATAATAATACTAATAAAGTTTTTTTAAAAAATTCTTGTTTTATGAAAAACAAACAAACAACCACCCCTTAAGATGGACAGCGCATTCACCGGCCCCAGTCTGGCTAAGTACAACGCCTGTTCCCACCCAACAGAGACCTGCTGGTTTTCAGCAGTTGCGAGCCAGGGACTTGAATACAGGGTGAACCATTTCCTACCTGGGTGAGCCTCGTTTTGTACATTTGCCATGCAAGGAGGGGAGAAAATTGAGATCAGCACTCACAGTGTGCAACACACGGCCTTCTCGACTCTTTCCCCCATGAGCTACTTTCCCTAGCTATCACTCAGCGCATGCCGGCATCATCCGAAGAGCAGGTGAAAGAGCTTCAGAGCGGGACAATTTACAACAGCAGGTGAAGATTGTAACATCTCTGATCAAAGCAAGGTAGGCACTGCCTATCCCAGCAGCCTCTGCAGGTAGCTATCTATATTTATTAGGTCGTCGGGTGTTTGACACTGTGGGGAATGTTACGAGAATTACCTGCCTTGTTTATGCATGCTTGTCTTACAAAAGCCACACACGTACTTCGTAACTTCTCTTGCTGAATTTTCAACGCGCCGCGACTGCATTTCTAAGTGCTGATACCTTGGGCCGCCTTCAAAGGCAATTTGTTTCCTGCCTGATTCTTCGCAGGGCCCCTTTTGCTGTCTCCCACTGGAAGTTGGTCCATTCGGGCAAAGGGGGCACTGCCCTGCCAACTTTAGTCTGCCCTCAACCAACGCCCGCCTGCTTGCCTTCTTATCTATAGGCAGTCCAAGGGGTAGAATTGTCTACCAGCTTCCTCCTCTATGTTGCTGTTCAAGAATGCAGCAACAAGAAGGATGGGGACCAAAGTAGACTTGGTTGGCACTGCTTGTCATTGGCTCTGGCGCCACCTACTGTTGGCTCCCAGCACTCTGCCCAACCAGTGACAACGGGTATCTGCCACCACTGCCCTTTCCCCCTGCTTATATCTTATACCTTAATCACAGGCAACTCCCCATTTACGCACACTGTATTTGTGTGTGCAATTCTTGTTTTTATCTGTAAGCTGTCCTGAACCCTGCCAGGGAAAAAGACTAAGTGTAAATAAATAAATAAAACAATAACAACAATAATGCACATTTTTGCAAAGCAATTTCCCCCTATTTATTTA